ACAACAACATGGAGAATAATGAAGGCACCATGGTAGCGCAGTGGTGAAAGGCTTGGCTGCCAAATAAAAGGGCAGTGGTTCAAACCCATCAGTCACTCCATGGAAGAAAGATGGGGCAGTTTGCTTCCATAAAGATTATAGCCTTGGAAAACCTATGGGGCAGTTTTATTGGGTTGCTAGGTACTCTGGTGGCACCTAGGTGCTGTAGGTGGCACTGTGGTTAGAGCACTCAGCTGCAACCCAAAAGCTTGGTAGTTCAAACCCACCAACAGAAAGATGAGCTAGTCTGCTTTTGTAAAGATTTACTGCTTTGGAAACCCTATATATTGTAATTTGTTCTACAGGATTGCTTTGAGTTGGAATCTACTTGAAGGCAATGGTTTGGGTTAGTATCTTTACTCCCTCTAGAGGCTATGCAATTGAACTACAAACTCGAATTTGGTAGTTTTTTGAAATGAATCAAAAACATATTAAAGAAAAAAAGTTAACTCTTTCTCTAGGGCAATTTAACTAGAAAAAAAATTAAGCACAATAACCTGTACACTAAACAGTGAGTTTCTGATTATCATTCAAGTTCCCAAATGTGGCCCTTAATTTTTAATATAAGGATGACAATATAGTACAGCAAAGACTATACCACCTCTCCTGAGATTAGCTATGGACTATGATATTTACATATGAAAGAAATAACACTTATGAATCAATAGGTTCATCCTTATTGGGGAGTCTAAAAAGTAGCTCTGAATCAGGTGAACAGCAGGTATTAGGTAAGATATCAAGTTTGATATAAAAAAATTATACAATCATAACTTTTTGTTAGAACTGGAACAGCACATACCATTTTGTGAGGCCAATATTTAGACTTGCCATCTGTCAGTTTGTTGTGCTGTGATGGCTTGTGTGTTGCTATGATGCTGTAAGTTATGTCAACTGTATTTTAAGTACCAGCAGGGTCACCTATAGTGGATAGGTTTCAGCAGAGCTTCCAGACTAAGACAGACTAGGAAAAAGGCCTGGTGATCTACTTCTGAAAATTAGCCAATGAAAGCACTATCGTTCACAATAGAATACTGTCTAATATTGATCTGGAAGACTGGAAAATAAGCCTCCTAGACTGGAGAGCACTAATAAAAATACAGAGTGGCTGCAACAATGGAATCAAACATACCAGCAATCATAAAGATGGGATAGGAAAAGGCAAAGTTTTATTCTGCAATACATGGGACAACCATGAGTTAGGGGATGACTCTTCTGCAACTAACAAAGTTCACACATAATGTCTCATAGATGACTGGCAGGAAGATCTAATTTCATCTTCTAATTCCAAATAGCAGCTTAGGCTAGATAATTTCATTTATTCTTCTTTTAACCCAAAGAATTTCAACTCTGGCAGCATGCTAGAATTATCTGAAGCACTTTTAAAATATAAATGTTTGAGCACCATCCCAGAAAACAGATCTGAGAGAATCTCTTTACAAGAGCCAGGACTTTTTAAAATGGTACTCAACCAACTCTAATATGGAGCCAGAGCTAACAACCAGTGTGCCAAAGGCTAAATAAGTAGCTAAACCAAGAATTAGAGGGTATGACAAATTATGGTGTGAATAAGTCCAACAGAAGCAAGTGGGTCTGGTTTCTGGCAGAAGGAAGAGAAAATGTAGCTGAGTTGTGTATTCACAAATTAAATTATTGTATAATTTCACAAACATTAAAATTGTCTACTCTTTTCCTCTAGAGAAAGCATGTCATTTTTTCATACTGGCTCTCTTTAAAATCTTAGTATCACTGACATTCTTTCCATAGTAACTTTAGCTTGAACTGTTATCAGTCTTTTTTTTTTTTAAAAACTCAACCCTCAAATATAATCCACATATTTGATTCCAACATTCCTGCCACCTTTTCTTCAAATCCTAGCAATCCAATTCTCTTTACCTTTGAAGTCCATTTTACATGCCGTATTATCCAGAAACCTCCCCTGATGTATCATCAGAAAGCCAGAGCATTTAATTATGAATTTAGTCATTAATTATTGCTTTATTGTTATTTATGCACTTATTTTCTAATTCCCAGGAAGATACTGAGTTAGCAGGAATGCTGGCTCCCTCAAGATCAATACTGGAAGTACTATATGCACAGTGAGAGGGAAAACATCAAAATAAAAGACTGAGAAATCAAAGGAGAGATCCAGGCTGCTTTGGGCATGTGTATGTATAGGGGTGGAGGGTCATGACTCTGTGTGTGTGGGTAGGTGGTTGAGGGTCAAGACTATGTGTTTTTGTGTAGGTCTTGACTGTGTGTGTGCACAGGGGATGGAGGAGCATGATTGTTTGTGTATAGGGGATGGAGGATCATTACTGTGCATGCAAAGGGGATGGAGGATTGTGACTGTGCATGTGTGAGGGCACAGAGGGTCACGACTGTGTGTGTGTCAGGGGTTTAGGGTGGTGACTGTGTATGTGTGTATATGTATATGACTGTGTATGGGGGTAGAGGGTCATGACTGTGTGTGTAGGAGGTGAAGGATTATGACTGTGTATGAGTGAGGATGGAGGGTTCGTGACTCTGGCCTGGAGCAGGAGGCACATGATTGTGGGAAGGCAAAGCAAGAAAAAAGAAATTAAGATATTTGAAACTGCTCTTACTCCTCTGTCCCCACTACCTCAGTGCTGCCTCACTTGTGGAAATGGAGGGCTTTGGTCTATATTTAGAAGCAAAATGAGGGTGTCTAGGAAGAAGCTCTGTGGCTGGTAAACAATGAAAGAAGCAAGAGGGAGGTAACCTCTAGCAGCTACTTTCTCACTCTGTCCCAGAAGCTAATGACTGACCCTCTAAGGATAGCCTTGAAATGCTACCTCTGTTCAGCCCCTACACAAAAGGGGGAGTCAGGGCGTGAGATGCTGTTTTGTGAGGTAACTGGCAATGACCTTGAGCACCTATGCTAGCAAGCTCATCCACTCCATTGCTGCAGGTGATCCTTGGGGCTGATCCAGGCTAGGACAGTGATTCTCATCTCAGGCTACACATGAGAATAACCTACACGCATCTAGGTGATTCTCAAGTGCAGCAGGGCTGATATGCACTAGACCCAGCCTGGCTTTCCTCATTCTGTTTTACCTGAGAATTGCCAATGACCCCAGGTGAAAATGAGCTCTCTGTCAAATGAGACATTTGAAGGTCACAAGTATTTCACAGGGGAAAAAACCAACAAACTGGATTATAAACTGCATTAATGCAGAAGGGCAGACAGATTACAAATTTGAAATCTACCTAATAGACATAAAGATAAAGATAAGTTATTGTTTTGGTTACGGAGTACTGCTTTGACAAGAATATACCACAAATGGGATGGCCTTAACAGGAGTTTATTCTTACAATTTGGAGGCTTTAAGTCCAAGTTCAAAGTGGTAGGCTCTAGGCGCTGTGTGACAGCCCCTTGACCTTGGGCTTTAGCTCTTCCTCTTGCTCCTGGCCCACTGAAGCTAGAGGCATCTCTTCATCAGGCAGCTACTGGCTGTTGAGGCTAACAAGCCCAAGGTTGACAAATAAAATGGCACAGACTGGATGTTACCAAACCACATGACAGGCCATTAACTCAAGCCCATTATTAACTCCCAAGGTCGGCAGAGCATGGCAAATTGCTGAACAACGACATGGCTACATGCAGGGTCCAAGCATGCCATAAGCTAGAGACTATCCCCAAGGCTTCTCCTTATATACAGGAAGCAGACCACATCCCAAAGGCGGGTGCCTGGGGAAGATCCTACCACAGAGTTGATTGCCTGTCTCATCATGGGTCATAAATACCACCAGCTGCCCAGCCACTCAAGTAGGCCCAGCCAAGTTGACATACAAATTTAACTACCACAGTTATTAAAATGCAAAAGAAGAAAACAGAGAACAATGAATATTAAGTACAAAGAATATAACAGGAAATAAAAATCACAATACATGGGATAAATACATTCCACAAAAAACCACAACAGATGGGTATACATCTGAGGAATGAATAAGCTGGAAGACCAGATCGAGGTAAGAAAGAGAAGAAAAAGGAACACAGAAAACATAGTTATGGAAGACTTAACTAGTATTCCAGAAAAAGGAAAAAAAGGTGGTGAGGCAAACACAGATGAAAAAATAATAACGATAAATTCTCCAGAGTAAAATGGTGAAAACAGCTCAGATGATGAAGAGCTTGATCAACTCTCAAAGTACCTCACAGGACACATGAGGAAAAGCCTTCACCTAGCAACATTTGACTTGTGGTATGTTCAATACTGAATATACCATGAATGCTAGAAGAACAAACAAATCAGTCTTAGGAGTCTGACTTCACAGCAACTAACAACAGCTGTAACATTATAGTGAAATCTAGATAGTTAAAGACAAAAGATTTTCACTACAGTGCCTAGCACAAAACAGATATGTATGAGTGTACATAAAAGATCAAAATAAAGACATCATCAAATCTATATGAGACAGGCATTATATTAGGTCCAATTCTACTAGGGAAAAAGTACGATGACTAAAAGAAATATTTGTGCTAAGAATTGAGTAAGAACATTTGAATGTTAGCCTAGTATCTTACTCTCCAAGACTACAGTTTAAATTTGGTGGCCAAATTAAGGTTTTATTTGTCTCTGTATTTTTGTTTATGATACTATTTCTAGAAATCCCTACCACCTCTAGTCTCAAGGTATGTTTTACCACAGGCAGATCTTGGCTTGTTGGGCTATGTAGCATGTGAAACACAATAATCCAACCACCCCGTCAATACATATTATTAAAATGTGGAGTGCTCTCTCTATGTATGTACAGGAGCTGTGGGGATTAAGATGCAACAGATCTGGATCTAACTGACATAATTCATATTTTCTAATATCAACAAGTCAGGAACTTCTTGTAAATGTGTTCTCAGGTAAGGAAATACATTTTTTTCCCCCTGCCCATTCTTTGTAACCATTAAGCCAGAGTATCATAGAAGGTCTTCAGTAAAGGCTTACCTGGTCAATATCAGCATTTCTTGGAAGAAAATAAATTATATTATTAGTGATCTTCTGGGAAAGTCTGAAAATTTCAAAGGTGGAGAACAGTTAAGAAAAAGGAACAAAAACACTTATTTCCTGAACAGAGATATGTTCTTTACTTAGTATATCATAATCTAAATGTATTTTTATATGTAACAAAAAAATGTAACTTTAAATTTTCCAGTGGCCCCTAAAAAGTAACTAGCAGCTTTTTAGTTCAGCAGTACAATGATCCTGGTAAATCAGAGATTAGAAGTGAAGCCTGTTGAATCTGTTATCCTAGTGATAGGAAGCCAAGATGAGAAATAGACACTTTTTCTCCTGCCGTCATTTCCTAATTATTACAAAAAGAGAAGGATAGGAGCACATAGTAATCTGCTCTTTCCAGTGAAGAATAAAGATGGGCAACTCTCGTCATTGTAGTCTACATTCTAAGTTTTAAGTAGCAAGTTAGAAACATGTTTCCTGTTAGAGTCAAACAGGTAATTCCTCTGGGGGGGAGTAGGGATGAAGAAAGGGGAAAATAATGAATGTTATTCTTTATGAAATATGGGCTTGTTCCAGTATCCTGGAAGAGTAGCAAGCAAACAAACAAAAATAGAATGAAGACACACAATAAATTATCACACTAGTCACTGTGAGTTGAAGAAAATTTAAGGGATGGGCATCTAGACCCTAGGGAGAAGTTTTGAGGAAATCCTCAATTTCCAAACAGCATTCTTTAATGTTTTCTAGTTCTTCCTTTGCAGTGGTAAAATTGGAATAGTAACCAAGGAAAATATGATGTTATATTTGCCATTACTTTTGTAAATTAATCACCACTTAATTTTTATATACCTACTTTTTATGCTAAATAAACTAGAATCTATCAAATACTAGTATTAGCAAATATCTCCCCCTCATCAATCTCTCTCTCTCTCTCCTTCTCTTTCTCTCACACACACATCCCTCCCTGCCTTCTCACAAGGGCTGTTATGTGTAAAATCTCAGGACTTCCAAAGGATATCCATCAGGAGACATCATTGTTCTAATGTCAAAGGTCTCTGCGGTAGCATAGTCTGGTCCTCCCCAAGGAGGGCTGAGAAACACCACGTCTGCCTTTAGATGAGAAGCCAGCAGTAGGAAATCTCCACAGATGAACTCTATCTTATCTGCAACCCCATAAACTTCTGCATTATTTCGAGCCAGGTCAATCTTCACAGGATCAATATCAATGGCAATCACTAAAAATGGTGAAAAGAAAAATGAGTCATTGACATTGATTATCAGGTATACAGAATAGTTCACCTTTCTAAAAGTCTGCTTGTCTCTGTACAACAACTTTTTTTCAAAGACTAAAGGACATTTTACGTATTATTAAGGTATTTGGCCCCATATACCAGTGATCTAGACTTAAGTTAAATGTTCTTATCTAAATTAGACTTACTTGCAGGATAAGAGAAGTGCTGCTCCAAGAAAATGTTGACTGAGACCTGGCTTTCAAAGTCATTTCACTCAGTTTTACTAAAGCAAGCAATAGTTGTTTCTGTAAAATTTTATCCATTTGAGCACATTTTTACCCAGCACATTTACTCTGGCCTGAATTTAACTTAACTTCATAGTGCTAGTAAAAGCACATACAGCAACGAACCACAAAGTACCTACTGAGTGCTCCACTCTAACCAGCACTGTGCTCTGTGCAGCACTGGCAGCAGATACTTGAAAAGGTCATTGATTGCACAGAAAGCCTATAATGCTAAGGTCACAGAAAGTACAAATTTTCTCAAAATGAGACAATGCCCTGTGAGTCAATCTGAAGCCAGAGTTCTAGTAGCCTCCAGGAAAATCTTTTACCAGAAACCTTTTAGTGTCAGCAATACTAACAGGACTTTTGGAATTCTAAACACTCCTTAGGGCCTTTATCTGCCCTCCAGTCTCATCAGGTATCAAGGAACTTCCTCCGAACTCAGCACGCATCACAAAAGCCATCCGGATTCAGCACGTATCAGAGATTTGCTCGGCTCCTGAAAGTCTTCCACATACCTGAGCCTTGCATCCTTCCTAGATAATATTTTCCTAAATGGACTTTGAAGCTGGGGGTTTCTTTACGTCCCCCAACATCTTAGATCACTGCCCTAAATTCCTTAGCAACAACCAATCATCTGTATCCTCTCGCCCTGGTGCTGCTCCACCCCATAATTTTCCATAAATTTGTGAATATACCGGGGCATGGGGTCTTTTACTCAAGCCACCGATCTGGTAAGGGCAAAGACC